AACTAACGCCGAGACAATTATGGATAAAAGATTTAGCCGTTGCTTTTTTCATTCATGAGTTGGAAGGGATTTATGGCAAGCATTATACTCGGTGGGTAGACCAAGAGCGCTTGATCCTTCAACGGATTTTATGAGCAGTTGCGAGGGGAACGACCGCTTTGCGCACCGACCTCAAAATCTATATGCCGTGATAAACAGTTTTACAATCAAGATTGATCTTCATTAGAAGAGAAATGTGAATGGGTTTATTAGTTGCTTTATGCTTGCCATGCTCATTATAATTTTCGCTCTTTGCAAACTTTTTAATCAGAATATCAGATGTGTAAAACACTCAATCTTATGAGTTAGTTCAATATTTTTATTAATTTATTTATTCATATACCTGAAATCATTTGCATCAAAGTCAAACAATATTGTTACTTGTCAGTATCAATCTTCTACATTTCTAAATGTCGACTTAGTTGCGCGTATTGCAAAAATCGTCAAAATTCGGATGACCCGTGGGTGTCTGAACCGTAGGATATACAGGTTGTATAAGGCATAATCAGTCGTTCGACATTCGAAAATTGATCCTTAATAAATGATTTGACAGTGTTTCAAATGAATGAATGAATGAATAAAATGAAATGGTGTTAATTTGAGGAATACTATCGAATTTGAGGGATACTATCGAAATCTACAGTTTTTTCTCTCATGCAATAGCTACAGTCAACCTATTTCCCGTGTTTCCTACTTAAATTTATTGTACAATTGTTCAAAATGCGCTATGTTACTCCATAGTAAGGTTTTCATGCGTTTTTCATATCATTAAATGATATTCTATCACTAAAACATTCAGTAAAATGATACCATGCATCTTGGTGATGTACAATAAGGCGAAACTTCTCATTTCAGGGATCAAAATTACTCCGGAATCATTTCCCTAGTGTGTATGAGGTATAATCATTTAAATGTATTTGGCTGGATATTGCAACAAAGTGATACTTTTTCTATCAAAAAGCTGGCATTTTATCAAACTGTTACTTCACTCAATCCACAGATATTCGTAGATTCAGTTATAACCAGGATTTATATTTCACAAATTCAATATAAAAATAATTTGTACTGTTCAAATATGCAATTGCTGCATTTGAATTGTATTTCTTTTGGCATTCTGCTTATCTGCATCCAAACATTAAAACAATTGTTTTGATTTCCTTGAAATCTTTAAAGGAGAACAACTGTTGATTTTGGCGAAAAAAATAATTTTCCTAGGGTAAACAACAATTTCCCATACTTACCAATGGTTAATGAATCAATTTCTACATTCAAAGTCAGTCCCTGTCTTTTTTTTTTCTAAACTATAATAATGTTTTTAAAAAATACCATCTATGGAGGTCACGTGGTCCGACGACAAGCACAGTTTCAAAATAATTGCTATAGCTGCCGTTTTTGTGGTAAAATATATTTCTATGAGTTGTTTACAATGCACTTATTGTGAATTATAGCTATCATACGAAGAGTAGTCAGTTGTCAGTTGTTTAAGTCAGTTATTCAATACCTTTGTGAACATTTGTCCTTTAGACCAAACCGTCGTTGTAGAAAAACATGTAGACAACTAAACATATTCATTTATTTATTTATTTATTCATTTATTTATTCCTTTGTTTGTTTATTAATGTACTAATTCATCTTCTTAATTTCTGTATATTTGATAAATCGTACAATTCATTAATTTTTGCAATAACGTGCCTGTCGAAAAAGACTCCGGTTGTTCAAATATTAACACCAACTGATGTCAAAATAATTTTTTGAGTGTATTTTTTTTTTTGACAATTATTGAGTAACTTAAATAATATTTATGCTCCTTTTTAATGATTTTTTAATATTTTGGGTTTTCACGCAGAAAGGAGACGCAAATGTGAATGAAAATGCCGCTCTTATGTGGGCTTGGGTTTTCTTTCCAATGAGTACGAGGCAGATACATTTATTTAAATATAACTGGTGCTTAGTGACACGAGTTTTCGAAACAAAAGTAATCTGCAACAAAGCCTCATATATTGTGAACTGATAACGTCGTTATGGTTTATGTGAAATCCTACAATGGTTTATGGCACGGAATATCACGTGCGCTCTTCCTCACGAAACGGGGCCTGTTTTCAGCAAAACAACCATGAATCCTTATTTTGCGCAAAATTTGAAAAGTCACTTTAATATGGATGAAAGTGCAGTTTGAAATTTAATCGAAAACATCACAATAGATCTAACAAAAAAGAGGGCACCGGGTCGAGTTAGACGTTTCCAGTTGAAAAAATATCCGTTTGCCAAAAAAATTGAGATTCCTTAGTTTGAGATCATGCGATGGAAAGCGTTTGTCCAGTTTTGCGGTCATCAACGTCCTTTTAAAACCAACCATCAACGAAGAAGCACCTCATGGCAAATATTCAGTTAAAATTATTTTCGTATTGACATTAAAATAAGTAGAGACGCGTTGTACTCCGGATTAGCTGTTTATATGTGTTGAAATTTTGAACGAGACAGTATTTCATTATTTCAAAAATATTTAATTAAAAAATGTGCAAAACCAGAAGAGAATGCATGGACTTAAGCGTGGCGTGGGCTTCTGTACTTCCAGCGATATGTCTAGTTACTCTTAAATTCATTCACTATCAAACACTAGATATTGGTCTAATACGCGTACAATATTTCAAGTTAAAAAATCAATCATGTCAACGAACAAAATGACCTAAAAGTAAATGGCCCTTATGGGTTGCCACTTCTTGAATACCAATGGCCGACCACATTAGGTAACCGTCAGTCTGTTTTTCTCTCCCAAACAAAACTGTATGCGCCGTCACGTCTTCTAGCTGCTGCTGGGCAGACACAGAGTCTCAAAATGGCGTCTTCACACACGACTCAGTTGACAAGCCGAAGCTAGCACAAATAACCGACATGCTTTGAAGACGATTTATCTGCTGGTGATCGTCATATCTCAACGGACGCTGACAGAAACCCTGGCGTTATTTCCTTTAGACTAGCGTGGAAAAAATCTGGCGAGGGGCTGAAGCCCCAACGTTGGACTATATTTACTGTTATTTTTAAACATCTATTAACAATGGTATTATATTTTATATTAATATGACTGATAAGTAGCATTTTGGTGCTTTTGCTGGTATTTTTGCTTGTAAAATTATTATAACACGTTTACTTTATGTATTTATAATTCACTGGCATTGTCTTAAAACAAGCTTCTGAGAAAGATCCACTCATTTCATCCGTGTTTTTTATACCTTTTTTTTTCTTTTTTTTCCACGTGGTCCACTGTTCCATTTATCTTATCATGTTTCAGCTTCGCATTGATTACCGTCTTGTAGTTATCTGTGTATATATCGTCTTCCAGTCGGATGTAGATTTTAACTCATAAGCTTATTGCTTTAAGCACGAAGATAACGTAGGCATCAACAACAAAATAATAACTGTCTGTGTTAAGAGACTGTATTTATCTCACAATTGTGTTTACCTTAAATCTTTCTATAAATACTCATTCGATTGTTTATAGCGGATTAGTAGTTATGTATCATTATAAATACATCAAACTGTAGTTTATTAGAAAAGAACAACAACAAATGCAATATATATCTTTTTAATAATCTATCGTAATAAATTATTTATTATGACAAAATTGCTTTGTACAACTTCTTTTACACATACATGGCAAAATATTAAGAAAACATTTTGAATTGAGCACGTGTATGGCCGACACAGCTTTAATTTCAAACCAAATTTCAATGCTGTAACTTTGTTTTTTTATAAAACATAAAATGCTGGCATTAAAGTATTATATACAAATAACACAGACTTAAGCTTATGGCATTTTAACCAACTGATCAATTTCTAAATAACATTAAAAAGAAACAACAACATTTGTCAACACGTAAATACGCTTGTTTTTTTTCTCGACATAATTGCTATTCTACAGTACACGATTGGTTCAATCTTTGTAAAGGTACTGTCTCAATTTTAATGCTATGCTAATTATTTTAGAAACATCATAAACAACTGCCTCAGAAGCTTAATGTAGCAAACTTGGTTAGTCTTTTATCCTTAGAAAATAGGTCCGACATAGCTCATATTTTGTCAAAATCATCAGAATTTTTATGATACAGTGGAACAGCATGTACTTTTGAAAAAATGAATCCCATGTAATCGGTACCTAAAATTCTTAAACTGCTTTTAGTTAAAAGGTGGAGAGAGATTTAAAAAACAATACTTGTATATGTAACATTATTATTATTCGTTTCCTTTCCTTAAAAACATGGTTGTATATAACCAAAAACTAGACTACGAAATATAAAACATATTTGACACAATTTTGTCGCTTGCAAGGTGAGTCGCAGCGATGGGACCATGAGGCTGGGACTGATCAATGTATTCTATTTACTTTTTGTATGCAATACGTGTTCTTGAGTGCGCGCTTGTGCGTGCGTGTGAGTGCGTTACCATGTTGTTTATGTATATGTGTATGTGGCTTCTTGTGTGCTTATGCGAGTGTTGGCGTTATTGTGTGTGCGCTAGCAAGTATGTTCCTTTTGTAAAAGTGTGTACTTTTATGGGTGGGCTTCCCGGTCTATGGGTCAATATGATCTATATTGTTGATTTTTTTTTTTATACAGATGGCATTAAATAACATTATCTTATATTCATTATTGACAAAAAATATTCCATTGACATACAGGGATGACCAAATAAAAATAAAGGTATTGTTTCCAGCTATGTTTGGCACACTAAACAAAATACTAGCAATAGACATATTCGTCATACCTTAAATTGCCGAGGCATAGGTAGTTTCAAGGGTTTTGGCACATCTAAAATGTATAACTCCAAAGCTGACAGTTCATTCTGACAGGCTGTGGGTGTTAAAAACTAAGTGATTGATTTCTGTCTTGGAAAGATAGCTGTGTTGCTGAATGACCATGGAGCGTTAGTATATTTTATGACAAGTAACGCGTCAAAAATTTTTGCTAAATCTTGTTGAATGTCAAATGGGTTTTTTCGTCAGTCTGGCATGTCATTTTCTATATGTTCCTTGAGCATACCGTCCGTAAGTTTTTGTTGTCGACGCTAACATTTCTGTAAATAATCCTAATAGATAGAATAACTGATTTCAAGACGTAAGATACTTACACAATGCGAATGAAACACACGTAAAACAAACAGATATATCATATAATATTTACATCACTGGAATACCAGATTATATTTTACACGCAAGCAAGCGTAATGAGATTCCGTAATTGTTATCTCCCTGCTACTTCTTTCTAAAAAATTGACCAATTAAGAATCCCCTTTGCCAACAAGGCAACCTCAGTTGTGTATATTTTATGGGTTTTAGTTTTGCAAATTCCTTGTTCAGGCTATGATTAGATTTTTAAATCAAAATGTTTCTCGCAGAATATAGGAGGTAACTCTAAAATTAGACTGTGTCTGACTAAAATTGGGACACTGAACCCTACAACTACTTCCGTAATTAAAATATTTACATGTACTGTTGTCTTTGATTCCAACGTTACCGCAGCGAACAGTGCGTTACCGCACCATTACTACATAGTGTTTTCACACATGTCTTCGGAACAGTCTTATGCAAGAGAACGTCATGTCTGACAGATTGATAGCACAAAGATTTCCATTGCCATTCGACCTTTGTATAAGAACATTGTTGATATATTGGGAAATTTTACTATAAATGTCTTATCTAAAAATTATGTTTTGGCTTCTAATCCAACTGTAGGTTTCCCGTCAATTGATAATTTCATAGCTTCAGTCTTTGTTAGGTGGGCTAGTTTCTGTTCCTTTTTCCACTTCATGCGACGGTTCTGGAACCAAATTTTGATCTGCCTCTCCGTGAGATTGAGCGCATGAGCAATTTCTATCCGCCTGCGTCTGGTAAGGTATCTGTTAAAATGGAACTCTTTTTCCAGCTCAAGAGTCTGGTGCCTAGTATACGATGTTCTCGTCCTCTTACTTTCGATACCGTTCATCCCGTCTAGAATTAAAATAGATTAAATTGTTAAGAAAACGTTTAAAAAGTATAAAACATTCATTTGTCATTGTTTATTTCAAAGCATTACATAATTCTGAAACAGTGACTTCAGTAACTCTTTCAGAAGCAATTTTACCAAAGAGCGTTTGTTTTACACGTTTCCAAATACTTTAATAATTGTAAACATATAGCCATGGCAATTTAAAGATAATCATAACATCGTATAAAAAAATAAATGTGTCACCTCTGTAGATTTATTTTAAATGAATTTTGAAATATACATAAAAGGGTATAGCAGATAAAAAAACGAATGAGATGTTATACAACATTGAAACAAAAACGGAGCTTTTTGTTACGATTTCGAACACAAAACAGAAAATTAAATTTCCATTTTCTTTAGACATTCCTTCAAGTGGAAACCGTGCGTTACTCATGCGGGTGTCTGGGGGGGCAATTGGCCTTGTAAAGGCGTAAAGTAATTACCAATGATCACTTAACAACACTTTATCCTCAAAAGGTTTAATAGGACGTCTGTTCTGGGGTTATTTATGTGCTTCTTGCACCAGATACCCGGCTACTTCAGATTAATCTCAGCTTTATGTATCCCTGGGTGCGCGCCATTTATTACGTCGTATTTTCCCGAAAAAAAACGGCGTTAATTTATTGGTGAACCGTCCGGAATTAGCTGTTGGTTTTTGCATAAATCTACCGCAAGCTTTACTTATGCTAGTCAGCTCTTTAGCAGTCGTGCTGTCTGGGAATTGAGGGCACTATGTGGAACGCGATTTCGGCGTGCTGAAGAGGCATCAATTAAACATAAAGCTTTGTATTTTAATTTTCTCTATTCTTAGAAAAGTACAAAGCTTGTTTGTCACAAAGCTTGTTTTTTTAATTCTAAATTTCCTTAAATATATAAACGCTTTCCCTGTGTGGACTGGAATCCTAATCGGAAGCTCAGTGCATTTTCGTCTCCTGAGACTCACTCGAATCGTAATATTTCAAGACAAATCTAGTAAACGCTACAGCATATACGAAATCCATCTTTCGCTGATGATGAATTTTCCCCATTATTCATGAGACTGTTTTGTTTCTTTAAGATCCGACAGATGTACTCCAGGGAATCAGCAGAGAATATTAGAAGAGCACCTTGTACTTTTGTCGTTTTTCACTGGGTTTGGCATCAATTTAGGTTAGATGATTTACAATTCTTTCAGAAAAAGCCAAACCAAATATGCACATGCAACATTCGTCATGCAATTTTTATTTATTTTGGGTATATTCACAACGTACCGTACATGCAGAAATAAAATCAGCAATTAAATATAAAATTCACCAGTAACATTATGCACATATTTCAAATGTGCCGTCTAATCTACATGTTCATGTTTTGTTAACAAATAAAATTGGACGTCCTCTATATATACTGTGGATTACATTGTTCGGGATAAATATACTGTATATACTGTATATGTATATGTATCGTGACTGGTTTGTAAATCTATGATTCTTTCTTGCCAATCTTACTGTTGTTTTTCTACTCAATATAAAGCTTAACTATTGGCCATTATGATTAACGAACGCAGTTTAAGTCAATTCTGTGGTTAAGACACTTTGGCTTTGATACATGTCGCTTAAGACGCGGTTAACCTGTTGTTTAAAGCTCTTAATGTTTGAAATTAATACCAATATACGTCTCTTTAGCGCGAATTGACAAATGCTGTGTACACAGTGAAACCCAACACATTTTTTCATTAAAAACATTTTCTCAAGTTAATAAAAACTTTATCAAAGTTTAATAGATTTTTAGTTAGACTTAATTTGATGCCGTAATAATCAAAAGATAAAATGGACTTTAAAACTCAGATGCTATGAGCTTAAATGAGAAAATACACGCCATGCAGTTTCACTTCTGTCTGTTTGTATCATCTATTAATCTTTGTAGTGTACATGTATTTAAATATCTACATATTGCACGTTTGTATAAAAGTAAAGAAGGCATTATTAGGTTGATGAACATTAATGTCACTTCGTTAAACTGGAGTGCATTAAGCCATGGTGTAGTTAACCTAGATGCACTCGTGATTTACACATTACTTTTTTATATTAATCATCTGTTACATTCACTAGCGAAAATATGCCTTAAACAAGTTTATTGCTTCTTGACAAATTGGCAAATGGCTAAGCATTAATTTTGGCTTTGCGTAGCAAGTAAGATGCAGCACTACTTCATTCATGTTGTAGTTCTAGTTGCATTTGGAAAATATGGTATGAATTTATAAAAGATGAAAGATGAAAAGGATAATTTAGAATGGATGATTCTACATCCTAATTTAGCTATTGATAATATTTGATATAAACTACCGCTGGTGGACAAATTGGAAAATTAGTTCAGAGTATGGCGGAACAGTGAACCTTAACAATTGGGAAATTGGAGAGAGCAAAATTGGCATTTTCAAAAGATCCGGATGGCGCATTGGTTTTCGTGAAGGTGAATCATTTTGACCTCAATGGCAAATGTTGACACAGGGTGAAACTAAAAGTGGCTTTACAATCTGACCATTATATTTTTCACGATAACCACCTATTCGCGCAGAGTCCCTCGCGAGAGGGTACGAGAAAAAACATTTACCACACCACTGACCATAAACAAAACGTATTATATATTTGACATTGTAATGACAGTTATTGTTTCTTCCTAAGTCATCCCAAACGAGCCCATTTACTTATCACGTATGCTGTTTTAGTCGACCAATTGGAATGAAAGCCAGATAACCACAAAAAAAAACTGACTTACTTTCCAAAGCACCAAAGCACGTAAACAGGATGCAAAATATTAGAACAACGGCCTTTTTTCAATACAATAAAACACTGCGAATTATGCAAGTGAATGGAATAACATCTGCATTTGGCAGGAGAGTTTCATAAGGAGTGACGACCTATGTAAACCATGCATCTAGGAGTGACCTACATAAAAGCAGGGAACCACATAATTCTTTGAAGTGTGAAGAGCAGCCAACGGCCGTAATTCACCATAATATAAACCTTCCAGTATCTCTTATCACATGCTCTGTTTAAAAAACTTAATGTTGCATGATCCGAAATTTGCCGCTTTCGGTAATTAAGGATGAAAACAAAGAAGGGTGTCTATGTTGTAATACTGGACCCATTATAAACCTCAAAACTGAGTTGTGTGATTCGTGTGCGGCAAAGAACTGTGAAGAAACAGAGCTGTACTAACTCTGTGACGGTGTACGCCAGGAAAGAATACCCAGCCTTTCTTCTATTTAACAAACATTTGAGCAAGATGAAAGACACCTGGTCCCAACTCCTAATTTTTATATCCTTAATGCAGATTTAGTTTCTCTTGCAGGGGCGGATTTAGGCCGTCTTCTGGGTCTTCCGGAAGACGGTCAGATTTTCAAGTTTACATTGACGGGTATCTATTTTTTCTGTCGGAAGACGGTCAAAAATGGAGGTTGGATCAACAAAGATAATTTGGAAGACTGTCAGAAAATATCTCTGGATCCGCCCCTGACATGTGTGTTATGTTACTATCCATCGACCATAGTTTCATAAATATCCGCTTAGAGTAGTTTGCCATAAAGTTTCTCGGTTGATGTAAATCGAAACAATTAAATGTAAAATTAATGATAAAAGTAACAATGATCAACTTTTTAGTTTGTCCCGTGTAGCTGAATCAAATGGACTTTCAAAGTACAATGTATTTTGATCTATCAAAGTCCACAATTCTAACTATCCATCCTTTAACCTGGTCGTGGCCGATGTTCTCACGCTATCTGTCACGTTCTAAAGCAACAGTTGTCCCGTTTTTGGTCAAACGAAAATCCAGTTAAAACAATCCCGCCCTGCGTAACCAAAAGATAGAAATATATGTTAAAATAACTCCGCTGTTTGCTATCTGTGGTCCATCAGTTTTTGTGGACGACTGGTTTCCGTACCAGGGTTTCACTGGCCCTATTGACAGAGAGTTGTTGTATGACCACCACTGAATGGCACAACTAATATAAGTAAATTGGGACAAAATGGACAATCATTTTGTTTTAACTTCATTCATTTTATTTTATTTTTTTATTTCATTTTATTTTATATTATTTTATTTCACTTCACTTTATAATGTTCTATTCTATTCTACTTTATTTTATTTTATTTAATTTATCATCATTATATAAGGGATTGCTTACGGTAGTAAGATTTAGACTAGTTTAATGTGTCTCCAAGAACGTTATGTAGACGTTACCACGCAATGTATAGCGGGAACTGATGGCGCACTTAAGCAAATTTATCAAAAGGAGATTAAACTGTGCAATGGCTCCTAAAGACCCGGTGCACTTCAAGTAGAATTTACAGGGATACACTTTAACACAGAAACACTAATGGAAAACTGGTTACGCAAACACGTGTGACCTAGTGAGACAACATCTTTAATTAGTATGCAAAACAAAATTTACGATAAGTATTGCTCCATGATATTTTTCTCAGAATTGCCCTATTTTGCTTCAAAATATTTTATTAACATAGAGAAGTTAGTGAAACAATTCGAGAAATATTGATATACATGTAGATAATACGTCTAATATCACCGATATCAAGCACGTATGGGATGTTAACGAGATAATGCTTATAAAAGAAGCACCATTGCTAGGCATGTGATATCCAAATAAATCGTCATTCTTTAGGAATCCAGCAACACTTTTTAACAAGACACTCATGTTGGCCACTCTATCATTTTCAGGCGCCTGTCTTTGGGTCCGTATTCGGAACATGTTCGCCAGCAATCACCAAGATATGCATCAGTCCGATTCCACGGTGGAGACCCGAGCTGAATGCTCAATTATCCAAACTCTTTGTGTATCGTTCTTATACAGTCACTGTTCATTGGAAGAGTTCAGATTGTAATCACACGACACGTTACCCACTGTCGACCACGACCCGACCAAAAGCATGTAAAACAGTGGAATCGCGTGCACGGTTTTAAGGTGTAC